GCTGAATAAGCGGATTCACCATGATTTTCAACCGTGTAGTTGATTGTCAAAGAAGAATCACCGCGTTTGAACGATGGCCGTCCACTGCACTTCGTTGCATTATAGCTCAATGCACTTGTTACTCGCAAATCCGTTACACAGTGCTCATGCTTGCATCCAGGATCGAACTTTATTACATTCGATGCGTTTCTTACACTTTTAGGATCGAGAGCGACGCACGTTTCGCAAAACTCTGAGTTGTCCGTAGTAGCATCGTATTTTGGAATAGCATTAATCACGCTGTGATTAAGTTCCATATGAATCGGTTTGTATATGTAATTGGTTTGGAATGTTACAGACGCTTTAAGTTGAACACACTTTGAACTCGCATTCGGTGCTAGAGAGACATTCAATTCGCACACCTTCTCATTGCATCCATCAATTTGAAAATGTGCACGAGTGAATTTGTCAATTAATTTGACAACGACACGTAATTGAACGTCAAATTCGATCTTGTGATTTGATTCATAACGAAAGCATGCGCTGAGATCGAATGTTTTGGCACTAATTGGTATTTTTTCATCGATCGGTTTGATGCTGCCATCAATTCGAATCACTGGATAAGATTTGTAAATGTAAACACTTTCGGCTTCGGGTGCGCCAATTGCAACGTCCAAATATTGATTGCCATTAATGTCGGCTCCTTTCGATAATCCATGTCCGAACATTTGGTTCGACGTTAAGCTACTGCGTGGAGCAACGATCCTCTGACTATATTTGGTTGGAAGACCATTTGCACTGCCATGATAAATGTAAACGACTCCGTTTCCTTCGAATGGAGCTGCAACTACTAGGTCTGGAAAAAAAATAGAAAAATTGAATGAAAGAAATTTGAAGGAAAATCTCCTCAGTTATGTTTAGTTACCATTGTAACCGTCTTGATTGATATCTCCAACTTTGGAAATGGTCGTTCCGAATCGACCGCTAAACTCATAATCCGTTCTCAGAACCGCGTGCAACACGAAATTTGATGACGTGCCTTTGTTCTTGTAGATGTAAACGGCGCCATTCTCATAGTCTCCAGCCTTTGAATTGTACGGTGCTCCAATGGCAACATCGGTGAGACCATCATTATTGAAATCTTCCGTGAGCAGACTGTACCCAAAGTATTCACCAAACTGTTGACCGGGGAACGTGTGATAAATCTTGATTGTTTTGCCACCTGAATAATGGTCGATGATGTCAAAAATGTAAACAGCACCTTGTTGTAAATTAGCCTGTGGTGCACTTGCCACATAAAGTAATTTCGTTTTTCCGATTCCATCAAAATAACCACTCGACACTGCAAAGCCAAAATAGGAGACGTCGTCTTTCTTCCAAAACATTGGATTCGGTATGTCGATGCCGTTTGCTTTTTGACGAATCACCGTTCCTGTCCACATTAAAATTCCCGGAGCACCGATCAATATCTCTTCATTATTTTCGGTGATGTGCACACTCAGCCCCAGTTCGCCGTACTGGTAGTCATAGTACGGTTGTTGATTGATCCACGTCACTTGCTTGTTTTTCAAACGAAGCGAGGCTATCTTTTGCACATTCGCCGGTTGTGGCGATGCTGTACTTGTTGTCCAGTAACAAACACCATGCATCGAGTAATCATCCTCAACACGGGTCGAGAAATAATCCGTCACATCGTAAATGAGACGTGGTGCGCAGACCTATAATATGTATTCGCAATCATGTAACAATTGTTCGCATTGTTTGACTTTTTTTTTTTCGTTACGAACCACAAACTTATCGCTATCACTGGTACTACCATCCATGGCTGCGCCCAACCATTGAAAGTCCTTCTTTTCATCGTTGAACAAGTATTGATTGTAATAGTCATTGGCATTTCCCCACCAATCGAATACAAACGGTGAACAGGTCGTTAATTTATCGAAACCACATTTGTAAATGACACCAGTTTCATTAATTCTTTGCTGTAACTCTAACGTAGACTGGGCCCGTGGAGCTCCAATCAGAACACTATGTGAAAAATAAACAATTATGCACATTTAGTTCTCAGATATTTTTTTTCGCTTTCAAAACAAATATCGATACATTTTATATAGAATACCCATACACAGATGTATGAGTCATTTATATTCGTGCATATCGTTGCCGCTGGGACAACAGCGATTTCATTCGAATTCGACGGCGTGCGATAAAGAAAGCGATACGAAATAGCAGAAGTAATTCAATGCAATTATCGCTCGAATTTACCTGTTTTGCTTGAGGCTTAAGCTAAATCCAAAATATGAGCTACGCATTTTTGGAATTCCAACGCCCGTTGATTTCGGCTCGCGGAAGACGATATTTGGTTGAGGTGATAAATTGAATGTATCGCCATTGTGCACACAAAATAACACTAATATCACAGAAATAAAATTGAATATAACACGGACTGCAGTCATGTTTACTTGTATTTTTGCTTCTTTTGCTACTTTTGATTCAGAATTTTTTTCAAAATGCTACTTTTTCTCTATAAAAACACCTTGAAAATCTTAACATCTAATTCATTCGTCTTTATTAATGCCTATCACTTAAACAATTGGAAACAACGATATCCGTTCAGATGACAACCGATGAAACATTCAAACGTAAAATTCGATTGAATGTTTTCCACAAAACCGCATCACCCGCGTAAAGTCTGAGTAAAACGACAAAATAGGGTAAAACTAAAATCGTCCTAAAACATACAAAAATCGTACTCAACTTTACGAAAATCGTACTCAAATTACCGAAAATCGTACTCAAATTTACAAAAATCGTACTAAAAACCTACAAAAATCGTACTAAAAACCTACAAAAATCGTACTAAAAGCCTACAAAAATCGTACTAAACTGACAAAAATCGTACTAAATTATTTACAAGCCAGAAAATGGCAAGTCTTCTATAGCCAAGCTCAAAATGTGTTGTATACATACTAAAAACCACTTCAAAAATAAGGAAGAAATATTGTATTTGCGTAATTATTTTTCATTAGTTTATTACGGAGGGGAGGGAAGTATTTAAAAAAAAATATGTCATTAAAATGAGCAATTTCGAACATTCTTAAGATATCAAGTGTATATTCCACTGACTCAAAGCTACTCAAAAGTGTTTAATCATCGAATATTGACTAAAAGAACAAAATAGACATGTTTATAAATACGAGATTCGTATTCGTATAAGACGAGATTCGCTCAAATATTATCATCATTTGAAATTCTCAAAACAACGAGTTTTCCATTCTCTGATTAAACACAACTGCACACACAGCGCTCGCTGGATAGCGCATAGTTCAGAATACGTGAGCAAAAGATTTGGTGAAGTTTCAGATTTGTCACAAACAAATATTCACAGTATCTACACTTGTATAATAATCATTGTTTTAATTACTACTGCATAAAGAGTGATTACAGTCTTAGTATAAATTATTATGGTATTTGTTATAAATAACAACTAAATTTATGTTTAACAATATTTTTTTTTGTTTTTAGAAGTTCTCGATTTCATATGTTAGAATGATTTTCAATACGAAATAAATAGAAAAAACAATGTTCGATGTGAGCGATCAGTTGAGCACTTACAACTGGTAAGAAAGGCTAGGTACTAATGGCAATAAGTACAACTAAACTAACTCGATTATAATCACAATGTTTCAGATTAAATATAAACTATGTATTGACTCGTCGCTTTGGGATTTTTGAACTGACACGGGGAAGGAACTTTTTTTTCTCAATAAATTGCATAGCAAAAAACACGTTCATTAGAATTGGTCGTCATCTGGTGGGTAATAGGATTGTGCTTGACTCTGGCGTTTTAATTGCACCAATTCCTCTCGCTTCCCGCGCTTAAAGAATCCAAACTGTGGGAAATTCGTCACTTTGTTAGAATCATATGCTATCAAATATTGAGATGCTTTGACTAACTGTGGAAAACTATGTTTTCGCTCTGACTTACCCGATAGAGTGCGTATGAGATGAGAATCAATGACAAAATACCGACAATAATCGAAACGACATAAACCCATAGCGGTGTTGTGTTGATCACATATTTTGAAATGATGGTAAATGGTTGATTTTGAATGACACTAATCGAAGATCTGCGGAATAAAAACATAAGTAAATATTCATTTTCAATCATTTCATTACACAGATACTTACGTATCCTCATCGGATGTTTTCATTAGCTCGACACTTGTACGAACAACAAGTACGTCTCGTTTTTCAGTCATGACTTTTGCCACTTTTTTCAGATCAATTGTAAAGTTTAATGTAATCAGCACAGGCAAATCGCCGGCTTTGACATTTGGCACCGTGAATTTTCCCTGTAGACACAGTTCTTGCTCCGCATTCTTGCAATCGAAATAGATAGTGCGATTCTGTGGCAAATTGGCAAGGATACGATCATTTGTACTGAAAATGTCTCTTTTATGGCGACTGTCCACTGCATCCACTTGATTCCATGAGCTCGCCGTTTGATCCATTTCGACGACTCTTTGTGAGTACGGATTGAAGTATGCGTTGCGCATATTTCCAACTGCTCGACGTTTTCGATCGCTAATAAAATCACCAACTGAAGCATCTCCACTAGATGATTGACCGCCACTGAAATCATACTCCAGTCCAATTTTCGATGCATCAAATTGCATTCCATTGTAATCCTCAACTGGAGCATTTGACGTTCCGGTTGACGATTCAATCGAATCCAATATTAAAATGGTGTTATTTTGTGTCCATTCTACATCGAATAGTTGACCGTTGAACATCGATTTTATCGACACACTGTTGATATCTACCAGTCTTTCTCTCTCGAGTGTCCATGGATTGATATACGACAACGGCAAAGATACCAAAATATCCAGTGATTTGATGTTACTTGGCCCATTGTTACGAATCTGTGAATGGTTAAACTCTTATTGCCTTTCAAAACAAACAAATGATTCCATCTGACTGTGCAGTGCACTTACCTCGAAAATATGCGTTAAATTCTCCTTTTCCACTTCGCTTTGCAACGTTAGTCGGCTTTTGATTGAATCGCTGTAAAATCAATTCGATTATTATCACTTTGAAACGAAAATTGAATTGAATTATCACTCAAATGAAGATTTCTTACCCAAAAACCTCAATGTTGCTAAACTCTTTCAAGGCGATGACATCATCGACCACATTATCAAGATCATTCAGTTCATCTCCAGTACTGAACACTTTTGCTTTCACAACCAATTCGGTGCTATCGAGCCTAGTTGTGTCGACACTTATTTTGATTGATGTCTTATCACCCTTGAACATCGGTGTACCGCTATTCAAATCACATTCCATGATATTGGAATTCGGAGCCGTTTCATCAAGTTTACAATTCGATGGAGTTTTTGTAAACAGGACTGAATCGGGTAATGTGACACGAATTTGAGCTAAATATGCCGTTTCACCGCTGTTTTCGATATTGTATGCAATGATGATTGACGAGCTGCTTCCCAAAATATATGGCAGTCTTTTTGAAGAATAAAAAAAAAACGATAATTTTGAATGAAAATTCGTAGAAATTGTCAGTATGTTTTTTTAAATTACCTCGGAACATTTTCTAATGAGCTGGTTACTTTTAGGTCGGCAATGCAACGAGCGCTCTTGCAACCAGTGCTGAATACAATTTTGTTTTTGATATTTTTCGAGTCGCTCGGATTGACAGCAACACATGTGCTACAGAACTCTGTAATTTAATAGAAATATTATTGCGAAACAATCAAAATTAGAAATTGAAAGAAAAATTGTCCATTTTCCCCAAAAATTACTGGAATCATCTGAGTTTGTATGCATTACCTTGTGTTTCACTTTCATCATTCTTGCTATCGTTTGGGATGCCATTGAGCACGTGGTGGGTCATTTCGATTTCAATCGGGCGAAAAATGTCAGCAATGGAAAACGTAACAAAAGCCTCAAGTAGTATGCATTGCTCTTCAGGCGTAATTTTGCCATGGATATTGTATTCATTTGTTCTATCTTGAAAAGTTGCGCGGCCCAATTGTCCATCAAGCTTAACGGTGGCATTGAAATTCACCTCGAAGTTTATCGGAAATGTGGATTCGTACAGCCAACAGACGTTGAATTTGAAGGATTTGTCGGTGGTTTGAATCTCCTGACTGAATGGAGTAATTGAGGCGTTGATTTTTATCACTGGATAAGATTTGTAAATGTAAACACTTTCGGCTTCGGGTGCGCCAATTGCAACGTCCAAATATTGATTGCCATCAATGTCGGCTCCTTTCGATAATCCATGTCCAAACATTTGGTTCGACGTTAAGCTACTGCGTGGAGCAACGATCCTCTGACTATATTTGGTTGGAAGACCATTTGCACTGCCATGATAAATGTAAACGACTCCGTTTCCTTCGAATGGAGCTGCAACTACTAGGTCTGGAAGCAAAATAGAAAAATTGAATGAAAGAAATTTGAAGGAAAATCTCCTCAGTTATGTTTAGTTACCATTATAACCGTCTTGATTGATATCTCCAACTTTGGAAATGGTCGTTCCGAATCGACCGCTAAGCTCATAATCCGTTCTCAGAACCGCCTGCAACACGAAGTTTGATGACGTGCCTTCGTTTTTGTAGATGTAAACGGCGCCATTCTCATAGTCTCCACCCTTCGAATTGTACGGCGCTCCAATGGCAACATCGGTGAGACCATCATTATCGAAATCTTCCGTCAGCAGACTATATCCAAAGTATTCACCCAACTGTTGACCGGGGAACGTGTGATAAATCTTGATTGTTTTGTCGGATGCTGAATAATGGTCGATGATGTCAAAAATGTAAACAGCACCTTGTTGTAAATTAGCCTGTGGTGCACTTGCCACATAAAGTAATTTCGTTTTTCCGATTCCATCAAAATATCCGGATGACACGGCAAACCCAAAATAGGAATTGTCGTCTTGATTCCAAAACATTGGATTCGGTATGTCACTGCTGTATTCGACCATTTCTGATGTAATTCTCTGCCGTGAGAATGATGACGCATCTTCATTTCTGCGACTCAATCCGCCCAAATCGACCAATGGCTTTGCTTTGTGACGTATCACACTACCTTTCCATGTAAAAATTCCCGGAGCTCCAATCAGTATCTCTTCATTATTTTCAGTGATATGCACACTCAGCCCCTGTTCGCCGTACATGTAATAAAAGTACCGTTCTTGATCAATTACACTGTGTTGTTTGTCTTTGAAACGAAGCGGGGCTATCTTTTGCACATTCGCTGGTCGGGCCGATGTCGTATTTGTTGTCCAGTAACAAACACCGTGCATCAAGTAATGATTCGTCACATCGGAAATGAGACGTGGTGCACACACCTATGTATTCGCAAAACAAACGTTTCAAAACTTTATTATTATCATCGAATTTGATAATTGTCGGCTTTGTTTAGAATACGAACCACAAACTTATCGCTATCACTGGCACTACCGTCCATAGACGCACCCAGCCATTGATAGTCTTTCTTTTCATTATTGTACGTGTATTGGTTGTAGTCTTCATGAACATTTCCCCACCGATCGAATACAAACGGTGAACAGGCCGTTAATTTATCGAAACCGCATTTATAAATGGCACCAGTTTCATTGATTTTTCGCTGTACCTCTAACGTTGACTGGGCTCGTGGAGCTCCGATCAGAACACTATGTAAAAAATTAAATTTATGAATCGATTAAAATTCTTGATGAAGAAAAATTAGTCATAAATTCAGAAGGTGAATACGGTTGCGTGATATCATCGAGTGTCACAATAGACTTGTTTTTTTTTCGCTTTCAAAACAAATATTGATACATTTAAAATACCCATACACAGATGTATGAGTCATTTTTATATTCGTGCGTATCGCTGCCGCTGAGACAACAGCGATTTCATTCGAATTCAACGGCGTGCGATAAAGAAAGCGATACGAAAGAGCAGAAGTAATTCAATGCAATTATCGCTTGAATTTACCTGTTTTGCTTGAGGTTTAAGCTAAATCCAAAATATGAGCTACGCATTTTTGGCATTCCAACGCCCGTTGGCTTCGGCTCGCGGAAGACGATATTTGGTTTGGGCGATAAATTGAACGTATCGCCATTGTGCACACAAAATAACACTAATATCACAGAAATAAAATTGAATATAACACGGAATGCAGTCATGTTTACTTGTATTTTTGCTTCTTTCGTTACTTTTAATTCACAATTTTCGTCAAAATGCTACTTTTCTTTTCTTCTATTTGGTTTTCTATTTTTTTTTCCTCTAGAAACACCTTGAAACTCATAACATCCAATTTATTCTTCTTTAACAATGCCTATCACTTAAACAATTAATGATACACAGTGTAATTCAGATGACAACCGAATAAACATTCAAACGTAATATTCGATTGAATGTTCTCCACAAAACTGAAGCACTCGCGTAGAAATGTGCAACGAGACTGTTTCAGTCATTTGTAAAAAGTGAGAAATTTGTACGAATGATAAACGCGGAATGAATTATCAGTTCCGATAGCTCTTCGTTGTCTTCGACCGTTTTGCAGATCGACGCATCCGCTGTGTGTGACGTTCGCAATAAAACTAAACACAGAATATGCGATCACAGCACAGTCAGAAGACACACACGGAAATTGTATAAGATAGTGACCAAGTGTTCAACAGCGCAGCGGAATGAGAGAGAGAGAGAGAGAGATATCACAGCGAAAGTGATATATGCTTGATGATCCCAGCCCGTATGGAAATATTTTAACTGGATAATCGATTATTTTAGAACATTTTGACTGACCAATGGCTGACTAAATGTCGAACAAAATATACAGCTTTAGTAACTTTAGTAATAAATCTAAATGTCCCAAAATTGACGAATGACTGAAAGAATGACCAAACGTGATTATATCCATAGAAAATAGTTGATTTAAATCAGTTGTCTACCACTACATACAACTGATTGAGTGTTAGTCATTTAGTTTCCACATGGGAGCGTATCGTTGATACGATCCATGTGAGTATTCCGAAAATGGATTTTGTTTGTTGTATCGAGTGTGTTTAACGACGCTTATACATTATGAATTGTTAAACGAACCAAGATGTTTGTCGTGCATGTGATCGTGTCGTCGTCGTCGTCATCGTCGATGCGACGATTCCAGTTCGCGCGCGGTATATTCAACAGGTGTAAGTCATATGTGTGTCGCGTTTATTTTACAACTATGTGCAGCAACTTACTTTATTATGAATAATACGCCGGAATTTTGCGGATTGTTTACGTCACGAGCGCTGATTCATGCTTCAACATTATTTTTTTCTTGTGCTACTATTCAATTTACAAATTTCATTCAAGATCAAGTTTGCGAGTGAACGGTGATCGATGCGTCATCTCGGTATTAACGTGTTTAGAGAATCTTAACCCTTCAAATTGACTCAAAGAAGAAAAAAAAAAAACACTCAATCAAATTAGATTGTGCGACGGGATTATGGCGAGAGTGGGAAGATGACACATCCAATTACGATAACACTCGTTTCTATTTTAAATGCTTTTTTATAGTAAACAACAGAGGAAGTGTTCAACTAAAATTAAATTACCATAGTACAACTGTTAGCAGAAAGCATGCATAGAATATACGCCGATGATTACAGCAAACAAATCCGTATCCGGCGGAGAAAAAAAAATCAAAACAATTTTTTTCTCTCTCGAATGTGACTAGCAGAGTGTAGAAAATGATGCCAAGTAGCGGCATTAAAATAGTTTAAGTTAATTCAATAAGAAAAAATAAATGACATTACTTTTGGGAACTGAACCAAAGGAGATGTATTGAATTGTGAAGAATGTTCAGTTCAGTTTGAGTTGATTTTTACTCAACCAAATTTTTACGTCATTTTGAATGGAGTTCACTCCGAAAGTACGGCATCTAATTGATGATACACATAAACGACTGGGTGTTTACGAATAGATTGAGTGCACTGACTCCAAGCTAAAATCAAATGTGTCAATGACCACTGTAAGTGATATGATTATACTGAATGATTGATTCAATTTTAAAAACGGGAACAGAAGTTTCTTCCAAATTTTCTGTGTAGTTCGGCTATTGTTTATATTTGCCCATCATCAGTGTAAACAAAATAATCGCATCAATATGAATTTGGATTCATTTAAATCAGATTCATACTTTTGAGTAGATAAAAAGAGTGTCAATGGCATTCTCGTCAATAATAAAAGTGCATTGTTTATTTTTGAACGATTACCTTCATGTGAAATAAATAAACGCTATTGTTGTTTCTTCTAGTTGGTCGCTGTTTTCATTGACGATTGCGATTCGAAAACATAAGTAAACAGTATTCGCTTAGTTTTCACTCAGGAATTCAGATGTTGAAAAATGAAACGCAAACATGTTAATTGTATAATTTTTTCCCTTTTTTGTTGAAGATGATTTTTGTTTGTTTCTTTTATTGTTTTTAATCAAAATGGTTGATTTTATACAATATTTCGTACAGAACTTAATAATGTTTCCTTGTTTTTTTGCTTTCATGGAATTCCTAAATGTATTTTAATTTAATTTTATTTTTCACCTATAAATTCACATAAATCCTTCAATCAATTGGATCCTTTTCTGCACAGGTTGCATGTGTGCCCATGGTTTTGTATGTGTGTGTATCTTACTTACAACAATTTTTGTTTTCATTCCATTTCATTTCATTTTATAAAAATAAACAAGACTTATCAGTAATTTTACAATATATATGTGTGTGTATGTACCGATAACTTGATCACTTAATAAATCAACAGAATTGTTAAATGTAAAAGAAGTCGTTCAACGTTATTGTTGGGCCATCGCATGCCAACACGAGAAAAAAAAAACGGTGCCGTTGAATAGAATTTGTATTTGAATATTTTAGTAACCAAGAAATAATAATTCAGAAACAATGTGAAATTGTGGCTACACGATCAGTGGCCACAATTTGAAAAGAAAAACCATTGTAGTTTCACTTAAAATGAAAAAAAAAAACAGCTATCTAATTAAGCCAGACGAATGAATTCTAACAAAATCTCATTGTTTCACTTCTTTGTTTTTTTTTTCTTTGACACAGTTATTATTTGTTTTTTTTTTTTTTTTTGATTCATCATCATCATCGACAGTGTGACTTTCGATAAAAACTTTTTAAACAAAAAAATATATATAGTTTGTTATTAAACATTTTCGAAAAATGAAAATTATAAATATTGAATCCATTTCAGGGTGTATTTGTATATATGTGTGTGTATGTGTGGTATCGTGTTCGATTTGTTGATGATTAGAGCGAAGATTTAACTCTTTGCGTAGTATAGTTGTTGTTGTTGCTGTTGATTTTCTTTAGAAAATTCACTGTGAACTAGCCATAACTGTGTGTTGTGTGTTTTAACAAATTTGACACGCTGCGATCTACGTTGAATTATAACACGGGTTTCATAATGCTAATCGTAGTATCATGGTATTAGTTTGACATAAGTATAAATCTGCTTAAGGTCGATTGATACGTCGAACTGGTCGAAGCTTTTTTCGTTGCTGAATTGCAGTTGCATTCGCTGATGGTTGGGCCCTTTGTAATGCAAGACAAAGAAAACAGAAATCAAACAAAAGAGAGAACAAACGATTAAACATTGTTTACATATTATAATTTGATACTTTATTTTTAAAGTAGAATTCACAGTCTCCTGGTTATTTTATGTTCTGGAAACACAAAAGCGAAACTGATCCATTTTTTTTGAGAAAAAAAAAATGCTTACGAAAAAATATTTGGTACGTCAGGAGCGCCCCCAAACTGGAACGGCACATTTGGCTGTATTAATAAAAAGTTTGGAGAAAAAAAGGAGAGAGATTTGGTTAGATTTATTGTGAAAAAGATGTGACAATGCTTTTTTTTTCGTATGATTCTTACCTGTTGTGGAGTTTGTTCGGTGAAATTGAATGTGGGAGGTGTATTTAGCGAAAAGTTAAAACCACCACGTTGTGGTTGTTGTTCACTGGATGGTGGAGCACCTGTGCCAAATTGAAATATTCCTGAGGTTGCTGACGGTGTTGCTTGTGGTTGAGCCTGTTTGAATTACAACGACAAAATGATTATTGAAGTTTATCTAGAAAAAAAAAATGCAAAGATAAGAGTTGCAAAAAAGGCTTTGATCGTACCTCAGTGTTTGGTGATGGTGTGCCAAAAACAGGACCAGAGCTTCCGAATGTTGGACCAGCTTTGAAACCGCCAAGCGTTGGCATCGACGCTGGCGATTGCGATGAAAATGCATTCGAGCCGAAAACTGGTTGACTAGGAGCAGGAGCTGCAGCGGGTGCACCGAATGGACTTGCTGCTGTGGTTGTTGCTGCTGTATTGCTAGCGGTAAATGCAAATGTTGTATTCGCAGCGTTTGGATTACCGAATGTTGGTTGTGCTGTTGGGAATGCACTTGTCGCTGATTTGCCCATGCCAAATGCAAATGTTGGCTTTTGTGCTGTCACTGCTGTCGCCGTTGCAGTATTCGATTCTTGTGAAATATTTGTTGTCGGGCTCGACGATGCAATGGCACTGAAGGTGTTATTCGGTTTCTGTGGTTGTCCAAATACGAATGGAGCATTCGAGCTTGTTGTTGTGGCCGGGAACTTGTTGAGAATATTATTATCAGCCTGATCAGTATTCGATCGTTTTTGTGCCTTGGGTACCGTATCATCAGTGGTTGAAGTTGTCACACTTTGGCCAAATGAAAATAGTGGCTTTGTTGGTGCGTCGGTCGGTCCATTTGTGGATGGTTTGATCAAAACATTCTCCAAAACTGTAACACCTTTGTCGCTGTTTGTAATTGCAGATGGACCGGTATCCGTTTCGTCTTTTGATGCTATCTTCGACCCAAATATCGGTGCATTTGTTGACGACGACGATCCAAATCCAAATTTGAACCCAGCCAAAGCTGCAGATTGACTTGGTGCTGCCGATTCGGTTGTCGTTGGCTTGAATGTTGGTGTTTGAGTGCTGCTGCTTCCGAATATGCTTGATGTAGTCGACGTTACGGTTGATGTTGCGGTTGCCGTTGCTGTTGTACTACTCGCTGCACTGCCAAATTGAAAACCAGGTTTATTTTCTGGCTTTGAGCCAAAACTAAATGTACTGCCGCCACTTGGTGAACCAAATGAGAATTTCTGACTTGACGCTAAACTACCAAATTCCTTCATTGAGTTGTCTTTCGATGCGGTGCCTTCTTTTGGCGTCTCACAGCATACACATTTTTCAATGTCATTCGAATTTTTGCTCAAACATAATGAACATTCCCACGACGAATTCTTTTGCTTCTCTACAATCGACTTAAAAATATTATCAGCTGCAACTTGAGCGGCAGCAGCTGGTTCAGGTTTGGTTTCCATTTTACTGGTTGAAGGCAAGGTGGTTGCGTTTCCAAAGGAAACTGGCGTCTTTTGTACCGGTTCTTTGGCTTTGTCTTCGGTTTTGCCATTGCTTGAAGCAACCGTTGGAGTGGATTCCGGTGCCTTCAAGGTTCCAAACGAGAATTGAGCAGACGGAGTTGTCTTTGCGGCTCCAGTGCCGAATGAGAATGTTGGAGCAGCACTTACAGTAGCAGGGGCGGCGGTGGTGATAGCGCTGCTTCCCGAAGCTAAATTCGAACCAAATGAAAAAGTGCTTTTTGGTGCGAACGATGCACCGGTGCCGAAGGAGAATTGTGGTTTTTCAGGCACTGCTCCACTAGTTGTAGCTCCTTTTGTCACGTCTCGTGACTGCTCACAGCAACAACATTTCGATTTTGACATATCATTCGCACTAAGGCATGCCGAACATTCCCATGTACTCTTTTGCTTATCGACAATGGCCTTGAATACACTGACGACGGGCTTCGATGATGCCGGCATGGAACTTTTTGTCGAAGACGATGGCAATGACCCGAAACTGAATGTTGTTGTTGGTTTCGGCGGTGCAGCTGCTTTGCTATCGGTAACACTACTTGGCGCTGCATTTGGATTGGCTGCACCGCAACAAGCGCACTTTGATTGTGCCTGCAAACAAAATGTGATGAGATTTGGCAAGAAAAAAAAAATCGAAATTCACATAAGAAAATTTTAAAAATGTTTACCTGATCATTTGATGTCATACAGTCGTTACATTCCCATTTGGATTGCTTTTGCTTGGCCACAATCGATTTGAATACATCGTCGACAGCAGCGGCAGCTGGTTGGCTCTGTGCAGCTTTGACTGGTGCATCACCTTTCTGTGGCGCACTGCCACCACAAACACATTTGCTCGCTGTCGCCACATTCGATACCAAACAATCTTTGCATTCCCATTTGCCTTGTTTTTGCTTCACAACAAGTGATTTGAATGTGTCATCATCTTGGAGTTGCGTTGAAAGCGATGACACTGTTTTACCTGCACTGAATCCATTGTCTGTGCTGGTACCGAATGACGGTTTTGTTGCGAATAGACCCGTTGATTTGTTGGCATTTGATCCAAACGATTGAGTCGTTTCAATGCCACTGTCACTCGATACTCCTTTGATCGGTTTCGATCCTAATTTTAAATTAGCTAATGATTTTTGGGTGTCCGTTTTGGCCACATTACCTGCTGGTTTATCGGTTATAAATGTTGGTTCACTGAATTTGTACGCCGACTTATTACTGCCCAGTTTATTGTGCTGTTCAAATGAATTTGATGCGGATTTAATGAGGATGGGCTCAGTGAATCGGTATGTGGCTGATGCTCTGGAATTGTTTATCGCAGGCTGTGGCTTAAATGTGAAGTCAGCAATGGGACTGCTGGTGGGACGAGCATTGAATGATGTTGCGGGCGTTGTTGACACTGCCGGTTTTGTTGGGCTGATTTCAAACCGTTTCGGGATAATTTCAGTATCGTTGCCATTCGTTCGTTTCTCCTTTGTTGTGGCCGGAGCGACGGGAGTATTTGTATTCGAACTCTTGAATTTAAATGGAATTTGCAAACCATTATCCGTCGTTGGACCGCCAGTCTTTTCCGTATTTTGCAATTTAAACGGTTCGGAGAACTTAATTTCAGCCTTTTTATCCATCACCAATGGGATATTTGGCAAATCTACCGGTTCCGGCATCGCATCATCATCAGCACATTTGCCCATTTTTCGTTTGGTTAAATTGCTACGGATTTTATTTTTGTGCTCTTTAGTCGTATCATTTGCACTATTCGATATTGCGTCATTTTTGTTGTTTACGAATTTATTGTTGTTGCTAGCATCCAGATCACCATCACGATTCGATACGGCTTTTGTGAATCGGAAATCAATTGTTCGCACTGGCGCCGCTGCTGTCTCCTTCCTTGCAACTGGCTTATTCAAAATGCTATCCGATTGGCTGGCTATATCGCGAATTTTCATTGTATTCGTTGCGAACTTCTTTAGCTGCAGCAATTCAGGCATCGAAGGAACATGAAGCTCAGTTGTAAGCACCGATTCGACCGGATTTCGGCCGAACGGACGATTGTATGGCGTGTTTGGTTTCAGTAATGTACGTTTGCTCTTGTCTAATTCATTGGCGGTCGTTTCCAATTCCAATATCGATTTATGTTTATTCAGCACACTTGATTCGGCTATCGAGGGCAAAGCGTTCGAAATGCGACGAACTTCGGTTAGCGGTGTATTGTACTTGCTCATTACATCGAGTATACGCTTGGCCGTGGTTGACATCGACGTTGACGATGCGCCGCCGACACCGATTGTGTTGAGCGATGATGTGGATCGCGATGTGACCAAATTGGTTGGTACTTTTGGTCGATGATGCATTGGAAAATCCTGTTGGTTCAGTGTCATGCGTCGCGATGTGGCCGAAGCACCACCGAATGTCGTTTGACCATTGTAAAATGGGGATGACATTGCACTCGATGCATTTGATGATACACTATTGTTGTCACACAGCGAAGATGTGCTTCGATACAACGATGACCGTGGATTACGTATACGATAATTCTTGAGTCTCGGTGACACATACGATCGATTCGTGAATAATGATTTGGCTCGTTGTAAATGTGCGGAGAAATTCACCACGGACGAATCATTGTTAATGGTGAATGGATTTGTGGGCTTTTCACGGCTCTGCGATGACGACGCTTCGTCATTGTATCGATCGTCTTGCGGCGAATCCTCGGCAAATGTGTGCGAGGTGACGATGGCATGTTGACCATTTTCAAGTGGCAAGTATCGATTGAATTGATTATCTGTTCTATGAGGCACATCTTCGATCAATGTCGACGAAACGATATTGCTTCGTTCACCGATTAGCGGTGTTGTAGCGGCGGTGGCGGTTGACGTGTATAAATCAGGCGTGTTTCGACTCAAAAAATCCTAAAGAAAAAGAAAATAAACAGTTATGATTTCCAACTACAAATTCTAACTTCACTTGGATGTCAATGGCGATTTTTGTTTTACTCACGGTAAATGTTTTCTTCTTTTTATTTGGCGGCGGTGCAGCTAACTGTGGTGTTGTTTGGTATCGACTGTCTGTTACAGTGACCGATGGTGAACCATCTCTAGTGCCACCATCTTCATCTGAATCGATTTCATTGTATCGACGTCGTCGAGCAGTGGTTGCATCTACTTTTGGTGACAGCCATTTGGATAATGAATTTGGCAGTATTTTCGATACGCCAAACTTCATTTTGCCTATAAAAGACTGTCAAACGAGCAAACCATTAATAAAAATTCTTCAGAATCCCACATACGTATGAATTTTACAACGTTGGCAAATAAATTATTCAAATCTCCCATAAATATTTATATTTCATTCGCCTTATCGTTGAAAGGAATTGACGGTGACCGAAAAAAAAAAAAATTGAGGTTATACCAAAGCGATGAATAAGGCAGATATGAAAGAATTGTAATCCAATACTGATAATATGACCTTTTATGCTTATTTTCCATGAATGTCTTGAAATTGGCATGACGGTAATTTGTAGCGCAGAAGAGAAAAAAAGTTGAAAAGTCACACAAATCAAATGACACTTCTGCATACATGATGCACGAACGTTTTGACTATAATTGGATTGCAGTTTTTTTTTTTTTTGCTACTTACATGTTCATCCGACGATTTGGATAATTCAGCATCATCATTGCTTCTATTTTGCGGTGCATCGTTTTCATCCATTTTGCAAACGTCTTTTTTCCACTGTTTTAAATCGTTTCACACACTCACGTTCATCAAGAAATAAATTTTTTCTTTATTTTGTGGCTTTACTTGTTTTTCTGGCGCTAATTTATATATTGGTAAAGACACTACTTCTTATATTGCGAACACATTGAGTGCTTTGTTGCGTTATTTCAATGTAGAATTTCAACTAGAACTAGAAATGTGCTGCTTTTTTACGATAAATTTCTGTTTAACACTGTTTTAAATTGATTTTTCGATGCGATAAAGGTGTAATTGATTGGAAAAAAAAACCTTTTTCCGATGAACTAAAACACTTTAAGACGATTTTTTTCAACTTTTTTTATTTCCGACTTTTCATTTATCGCCACACACATCGTGTGTGTGAGAAACTAAAAATGGCGATCGCTTGACGAACTAATACACTGCTATGCAGTTGTATATGGAGCGCTATGTATAGAAGCGCGCGTGTTCGTACGGTCCCACTACAGCAAATAGACAATACGATTGCTTTGAAGTTGGTTACAAATACACATCTCAATCTGTCATTCGATTTGCGACATCGTTCTCGTCGTGTGGCTATTGCTCTACGCCAGTTCTGGAATTTCGTGAAATATTCAATGTTTATGCACTGGAAATGTTATGACTTTTATCGTTTGATGCACATTTGCCGGGAAAATTGAATAAACATTCTGAATTGAAATCGCTGCTAGAATATTTTTGCCTGAATCATTGTTATCAAACCGAAAGCGACTCACATAATTATTCCTTTTTCATTTTGGATGAATGATGAATAAAGTAATTGCTTTTGATAGCCGAAAAAAAAGCAATTAAAATTTTCCAGATGAACAGAATTTTGACATCGTTTCGAAAATAATCTGGTTCTGAAATGGGTGCAGTAAGGTCGAAATTGCATAACTTGGCAATATATGTGCGATTGCAATCATGCATGTCTCGTTGCGACTGTGCAATGAAATTGGACGCATTTTGTATGGTGAAGTGTATGTGGTTGGTGGAAACTTTCACTTTGAGGCATTGACCTCCAATAAACCCGTATATTGTGTTCTACGTTACATAATTAATAACAATAAAGCTATGTAGGTCTCGTTCGAAATGATCTCCTTGAAAATCGGCCCGTTTTTATTGTGTGTTTTTTTCGATATTAAAATAATATATCGATTATCACAGCTATTCATTGGCCTCTGGCGGCGTTGTTGTCGTCGTCTTTGTTAATGTTCATTATTTCTTTTCGCTTGTCTTATTCGCATCGTTTGCGCGTTCGAACCAAGCAAATGTCGAATTTATTAAGGTGTTCGAACAGCTGAGGAAAATTACTGAAAAAAAAGCGACATTCAATTATTCGATATTGCGTAAATGTTGAATTTAATATATACGTGATTGGTGGCGCTTTTTTTTCATTAAGACGAAGTAGAAAAAAAGTACGAAAGAAAAACATTTAAAGTAAAAGAGCAAAACGGATGAATTTCGGTATCCCTCCTTCAATTATAAAAAATGTCGCGACTCATCGATCCAGACCGACCGTTTGCAGTCTGCACAAATTAGTTGATAATAGTCTTGCAGCAAGCAACGAATGCGGCCACACATCTCACTGTTGCCCAATCACTTGTTGCGTTTCAATTCGTACAAATGTTCTGTTTTTTTTATTTTTTTTTTTTTTTCATTCTTCTCGAACAAAAAGTCTGCGTTTCATCAGAAAAGAAACATTCAGTAGCGTGTTAATATTTGTTTAAAATGTCGATGAACTGTCCATTTGTTTGAGTCTGTGTACTATTTTGTGTTTTCAATTAAAACCCATCTGTTGTTTACATTCCATTTAACATAGATGTATAGTATATGTGTTCGATTTTATTAAAATCTATTTACACCGATGAGTGTAGAGTATTTTATGAATTACCTTCGATGCGTACAGTTCAACTAAGTTGATAAGATTATTGTTTCAAAACTCAATATTGTAAACAAAGAGATTAATAAATGCCCTTTGTGATAAAAAAAAAAGTTATCAACACGAAATTCAATAACAAAATCGAAAAATGTAAGTGTCGAAATTTAATAGGTTAATAAAGTTATTTGGCATAAATTGAAGGAGAGAGCGAAAAAAAGCGCAGACATTGAATTGCTAATGTGTTGACATTTGGTGTGATTTGCAATAGATCGAGGGAAAAAAACGGTAAATTCAAATTAATCCAAATCCAAAACAAGGCAACGATTTTTTTTTCTTCTTTCTCCTCTTCATCGTCTTCTCTTTAGTTGGTTTGAGTGTGTTCGTTATCTCATCGCTCAGTACATTCTATGCAATTCTAAGCATATTCCAGAATTCGTGTGTTATACAAAAACGAATGGAACGACACGGATAGCACACACAACTAAAAATAGATTGTGCACACGATAGTATAGAAGTGACTCTCTCCACAGTCTCACACCGCACACACTCCGTCAAACGGCTGCATTCGCGCGAAACCGAAACAATCGACAAACACACAGTGGCGCACAAGAGACAGACTGAGTGAGAGTGAACGAGCAACATTTTCCAACACATCCACACCAGTGAGTCTATTGACATTTCAGTTCGTTTTTGTCATGCGCCATTTATGGTATTCCAAAAGCAAGAAAACCAAGTGAAAGACACACAGTAACAAGAGTAGAAAAAAAACGAAGAAAAAAAAAGAAGTCGATTCCGTGAAAATGATTGTCAGACGACGATTCGAAAGGGATACCAATGTGAGCATACTTCATTAAATTCGAACGAATTTCAAGGATTTTCACACAAGAAAATAGTTCTTTCGTTTTGTGAAATAATTTCGCTGTTTGAAAGTTCAATATGATATAATAGTGATGGTTGTTGGCTTGTTTTGCCGATTTTCAATCGACTGTGATTGTGCATTCATTGTGACAGTGCTTTGAATTTCGTCGATTTTGTTTTTGTGTACACAAATTTATGGTAAATTCTATAGCGTATTCTGCTTTAGACAAAGTAAAGGTATTGCTTTTTGACTCTGTTCGTTTCAAATGTGCGGGGGTAGACAGCTGCTATACCAATTCTATTTATTATCATTGTTGCTGTTGTTGTTGTTGAGTACAAAAATTCCACTGATTTCATTTATACGACTCAACTCAAGCATTTTCTTTCTCTCTCTCTCTCTCGAAATTTCGCGTGGAATTTTTTTTTTGAATCGTCTACGTAAATCATACAATAATAAAACGCATTTTCTTCAATTTCTTCAGTGGATTCATCCACGTCGATCATCATAATACGAACGATACGAAAGAGAGAAAAAAGCAGTCGCAAGAAAATAAAAAACAGATGTTTAATGAAAACAATGTATTTGCATACATTGGTATCGGAACGACGCGCATTCAGTTCGAACTTGGCCGAAGATGTGTGTACCGATACGAAAACCGAAGAAATAATGAAACATCAAAAATTGAAAGACGAAAATAAACCAATACAATTGCAGTTGGATGTGCGTGTGATTTACTGTTTGAATTGCGCCTTCCAATCACGTTCGCAATTCAAACAAAATTCAATACGAAATCAGAACGCATAAGTTTTTATTTTGTATACAATATTTTTGTTTCTTCGTCGGGCTTGAAATGTTATGTAGTCAGACGTAAGGCAATTGATAATTTTATGTGAAACGAAAGCACAAAACGTAACACCAATAGAGAGAAAGACAGGCTACACATACGGCTTCGAAATAGGTATCGCGCGGCTCGGCAAACGCGCTGATTCAACAAACACATGTAACATGTGAAAAATTGTGTATGACGATTTCTCGTCAAGGTACACACAATTGAAATTTATTACGTATTTATCAGTGTTACATGAAGTACACATTGAAATTGCGCACATAACCATCGAACAGCAAAAATTAAAAGAAAAGAAGAAAAACAAGCAAGATAGATGTGAATTTTTGAGAAAAAAAAAATTAGTCTAGTCAATACTATACTATATTGAGCGAGAGACGGTCGACGATAAATAATACTGTTTTTTTCTTCTCACTGTGTGAATTTCGTGTACTGTACGTGCGCATACACTTCAAGGCGACTCTATCCACGAGCGTCGAATTATAAGTGATGTGCTGTTTTTTTTTTTCATTCGCGTTCCTCTGTCGATACAATATAATTTTATCTCCAATGTGGTTGTTACATTGTACATATGTTGTGCAGTGGTTGACACAGTCGAGCCGTGACATTCGTTAGTGTCAATCCGAACGCACAGGATTGCAATGTTTTCAAATTGCAGCACAAAATAGTCGCGCATTGATTCAAACAAACAAACACTTGCTCAACGTCGAAACAAGTTGCAAATTGATTTCGTTGAAGCATCATCGCGCAATATATCGTCAGTGTGTTTTCATTCTAAATTCTAAATAAAATCAGTGATTAAGAGCCGAGTAGCTCACTCTCTCTCTCCCTCTCTCCCTGGCTGGATGCAAATCGACCAGGAAAAAATAAATATACTCACTTAAAACCACAAATCATATCAATTCTAAAGATAGAACATACAGTGTCTGTGTTTCAAGAAAGTTAATTTACAGGAAATCTCATTAAGATGTTATTACAATGTTTGTTACAAACAAAGTTGTTTCCCTTCCAGATAGCGAGCGTTGATTGCGTCACGATTGTATCGGATTATTAGAGTGCGATCATCGTTTCGGAAGTCATGCATTCATTCAATCGCACGAAGGACTGGCCACAATTTTACGGTGTTCTAGATTAGCGAAACAGCAGCACAGTAGAGAAAATACACCATAAAAAACATTAAATAATAACCGCGACATACTCGTTCGACACACATGATTTCGATTCAATAGAATTCTAGCTTTGTATCTTATTTTTCGTCGTATTACATAATCGAAACGAAGTAGCAAGAAACACAAATCATAAATAGATTTTATCACGCGGTCAACCAAAAGTTTTAGTTAAAAATTTGAAAGGGAAAAATTCGCGAAACCGAAGAAAAACGATTCTCAAAAAATTGGTCGCCATGGAGTCGAAATCGTATTACAATCCAGAATTATTGTACAGCCAATGCATAGTCAGCTATGTGAAGCACTTGAAGCCCAAAACCAGTCAACTTGACGAAATCGATGGTCTACAAATGTTGCCGCCGAACATTTTGGCAGATATTTACTTAGCTGTGAGTTTTGTTGATTATTTTATTTTTTTTCGCATTATTCTTTTTTCTATTCTATTCATGTTGGTTTTCAATTTGACACACGTTTTAAATGCTCATTCAGTGTACCATATTCAAGCCGATTGCATTATTCAGCAGTTTGCTTTGAGCATTGTCACTTGAACTGATAGGTTAATTGGTGGCTGTTTTTTTTTTCTCTCTCTCTCTCTCTCTCTCTTTCTCTCCCTCTCTTTCATTTCTTTCCATTCTCTTCGCTCTTTGCAAACAATCGATTTGTGCTAAATTAAATTGCGATGACTTTGCTGATTGGATGGATCATGGATTCAGATGAGCGAATCGGAGGATTTACGAGATATTCTGTATAATGAATTAGCAAATTTGACCATTTTCATGCGACTACTCAAATACGCAGTAGCCCGACAAAAAATGATCAAATGTTTTTCGGTAAGTTCAAGCTAATGGCCATTCAAATGAATTGAACGAGTTTTGAATGGGCTTAGACTAACAATTATATATATATATTAAAAAAAATAAAACTGTGTGATCATCCATCTGTTGGGCATTCTAATTGCAGGTCCTTATGTGTAGTGGACGTCAACTATCGACTGAAATTTCATCAAAATTTGTCATGTACACACAGCATCACTTTCAATCGCATTACAAAACATCACCCATGAAAAATTCAAATCATAATCTATTGATGGCACGTGATATGTGTCTGAAGCAAGTTGAGAACGGTATGCGACTGGGCACTTTTCTTAGTGAATCGGGTTGGTTGCAGGACAGTTTAAAGGTATTGGTGACCATTTTGAATGTCATCAATACGCTCAAACTAAATTATAATACAATTATTGTGAAATTGGACTGTTTACAAAGGTTCGTACCGAATTGAATGTTTCATCTATAGAAATCACATCATTTTCACGTGATTTGACGTCGTACACGCTCGCTCATACTCATGTTCATTTTCAGATTACTTCATACACAAGTTGCATTTTGTTGTTTCTCTGACGCCAACAAAAGCCAGACAGAAGCTAATGAAATCATCGATCAAATTGGCATGGACAAAGTTCCAATTAATTTGCTAGTGACTTATTACAAAGTGCTGTCAATGTTGTATTTTGCCAAAAGTGATTACAATTTAAGTTACGACTGGGGTGTCAAGGCATTGGAGTTGATTGGGCCCAACACACCTGACAAGTGCGTAATCGTGTGTTTTTTTTTCTTTAAATGCACAATCGATATGGAAATTTATTTATTGCTCATTTTAATTCGGTTTCTGTTTGTTTTATCGTGATGTTTTATTGCTGTTTTCCTTGTCTGATATAGAATTGCCATCGATGTACTCCGTGTTGCGGCTAAAGCGTGTGTTGTAAAACGAGAATTCGATAAAGCGAGAATTCTTATCCTGAAAGCTGTAAAAATGGCTGGGTAAATATCGTAACCGTCGCACACGCCAACAAACCATAAACTTTAATATATTGTTTTCCGTTTATTGTACAGAACTTACTTTGGGGAAAGTCATCAAAAATACGCTGATACACTGCTTGATTATGGCTTCTTTCTACTGAATGTCGACGACATCGTTCGCAGCGTTCACGCCTACACGGTAATCATCCATATGTTTACTCTCGGTCGTGGTTACCAAATTAACACGATTTATTTTTGTTTAATGCAAACATTTTGTTTTTTTCTTTTAAATCTCAAAACAGCGTGCATTGGATATCAAACGCTCGATTCATGGGAGCAAAAACTTGGCCGTCGCCACCGCTGAAGAGGATTTATCATACGCTTTATATGTTTTAGAATATAGTTCGGGACATTTCCAAAGTGCTCGAGATCACATTTGCAAATCAATCGATATATTGCGCTCACTTTTGCCAAAAGATCACTTGTTACTGTCGTCTGCCAGAAGGGTGAAAGCATTGATCCTAGAGGAGATCGCATTGGACAACTTTAATATGGGCGATAATACAACTGGTATACCTAATGCTTGATTTTTCGCAATTAAAACGCTTGAAAATTACACTTTTCTTAAGACGTTTACGCTTTCCTTTTAGAATATCAAAATTTACTGATTGAAGCGGAAGAATTGCATCGAAGTGCTTTGAAAATCACAATCGACGCTTTCGGCGAGGTGAACGTTCAAACAGCAAAACATTATGGAAACCTTGGCCGATTGTATCAGAGCATGGCAAAATACCAAGTAAGACCCCGTTTTTATCGTTAGCATTTTCAAGTTTTCATTTTATTTTATTGACATTGCCTAATCTCACCGACGTTCTTTGTCTTCTCCCAACAGGAAGCTGAAGAGTTACACAAACGTGCTATCAAAATCAAAAGTGATTTACTCGGCCCATATGACTATGAGGTCGGATTGTCAATTGGACATTTGGCTTCACTATACAGTTATCACATGAAAAAGTATCGCGAAGCCGAAAAACTTTACTTGAAGAGTATTGCCATTAGTGAGTATTTCATAATAGCTTAATGTGGGGACAAAAAAACAGAATGAATCACATAATCTGTTCAAAATTTAAACTCGTAATCTCCCATTTTGCATAACAGGCTTGAGACTGTTTGGAGAAAGTTATTCTGGCTTGGAATACGATTACAAGGGACTTTGTAATGTCTATGAATTTCTCAACGATACCGAAAAGTACTTGGAATATTCGCAAGTACTGGAAACCTGGCGAATGATTCGCGAAGGAAATTTAGAGGTGAGAAATCAAATCCAAACACTCTGTTCAGTTTCCTTTCCAATGGATTTTTTTCCTGTTCTATTTATAAACCGAGTCATAAGTCAACGTTAACGATTCGCTTCCTATGTTTTTTGCTGATACATTGCGTGATTCTAATTTTCTTTTTCTGTGCGTTAACAGGTCTCAACGTCGTGTAATGAATCAAAAGAGGAAATCACGCTGGATGAAGTACGTGAAAAGTTTTTTGATTTATGTAGTCGAAGTAATGTAGCAGCCGCCGCCGCCGTCGAAGAGTCTGATAACAATTAAAAATTGATGAAATTTCTCGTTTTTACTGTAACCATTATTATGTTAAGTGTAAAAAAAAAAAACATTTATTCGATTAAAACTAGGAAAAAAAACAAAAGCAGAAGAAAGAGAAATAAACAAAAAATGAAAGTTATAACTATATAATCTAAACAATTAATCGATTAAAATGAAAAAAAAATTGCTTTTTGTATTTTGTGTCACATGAAATGAAACAGGCGCAACAAATTCAGTTGAAGTCATTTAAAGGAACTAGTTTATTTATTACCATTTTATGTAGAACATAAGATAGAGGAAGAAAAAAAAGTCGTTCGAGAGAGATATTTACAATTATGCAGGAAAAAACCACAAAAGAGATGCAAAAAAGAAAAACGTGTTAAGCCAATAGTTAATAAAACAAAATGAGCATTAAAACAATTTCAGTGTGAAATAAAGTCGCTTTTCTAAACAGCCAGATTTTAACTGGATATAGCAAAAGCAAAATAAATTTATAATTTTCGTGAATTTTTCTTCTTTTTATTCAAGACGTGTCTTCGTTTGTATTATCTAGCGTAAGAGTGGAATTGTTTGGATTATCAGGCGGAATCAGGCCATGGATGGATTTTAAATGATTTCTAAATCTGAAAAGATAAGACAAGAGATAAACCGATTAAAATGTGACACAAAGCAATAATACTAATGAGCTTCAGCAACAATCTCTTACTTATCGCGACGTGTAAATTCGGCAATACATAGTGAGCATCGATGTGGTTTAATTTTTGAATGCGTAAACATGTGCACTTTCAACGACCATCGCTTCGAGTAGTCTTTCTTACAAATTGGACACGTATGTTTGACACCCAAATGCGTGTCCATGTGCCGATCCAAATGACTCTTTTGCTTGTATCGATTGGGACATTGCGTGCAACAATATGGTTTTTCACCCGTCTGCAGATTCCGTGGAAGATAGAAATTGGAAAAATAAAATTTAATTAAAAATGAAATCAATTTATTGCCGGATTTCCCCTTACGTGCTCACGTCGATGCAGAATCAAATTCGATGCTCGGCTGAACATTTTATCACAATCTGGAAAATCACATTTGATTTTTTTTCCTGTGTGCAGTGTCATATGTGTTTTAAGTATCGTATTTTGTGTGAAACGTTTGTTACAAAATTGGCATTCGTATGGCTTTTCCCCAGTCTAACCATTTGTTGCGTGATCGAAAAATCCACCGCAAAAAAAATTCAGCATGTAAATCGATTGATAAAGGAGAAAAACAAAACCAAATAAATAACTCAGAATCAATACAACTGATTAATTATCGCAAATAAATTGCTTAAATAAACGAAATGCTCAACTCAATTCACTCGATAAATCTAAGCGCTTGTGTACTTACATGTATTCGCTTATGACATCTCAATGCATTGCCTTGAGCGAAGGTCAAATCACACTGATCGCATCGATACGGCTTTTCTCCAGTCTACGTAAACACGAATTGAATAAACAATTTTATGCGAAATCACTATGTTAATTGCTAAATTATACGATTCTCAAATCTCAATTTATGCAAATGATTTCGTTGAGCTTCTGAATTGTGAGACAGCGAAAATGGAAAGATTAAGGAAGAGCTATCACTTACGTGAGTACGCCGATGGCATCGAAGTCGCGATTCCGACGAGAATTTTTTGTCACATTCGTCACATGCATGGTTCTTTTCACCCGCGTGCGTTGCTGCGTGTACTTCCAGTCGTGCTTTCGTTGTGAATGTTTTGTCACATATTGAACAGAGAAAACTGGAACAAAATATAAATTTTTTTTTAAATTTTCATTGGAATTTTGATTTTCTTTAGATCAAATTTGGTCAAAATATCCATACTTTTTATTAAGTTCTTCGTGAGAACTGCTATGGGCCAAAAGCCCTTTCTCCGTGTGAAATTCTTCGGGACACACTGAGCACTTGTAATTTTTAGTTGAATGCTGCTGTCGAATGTGAGCTCGAAGATCTGATGCGGAATGAAAGTCTTCCTTGCATATTTTACACGATTTATTGTTAAAGGTCGAAATTGCATCTAGGAAACGAAAATATGCAACAATTGTATTTTTTTTTTTAATTCAACACGCACAATGCAAAATCGTTTCATTTTGCATAAATTATAATTTTATTTATAGCTGTGCCATATTCGTATCTTAATAACCATCCTAATAATTTTGAGAGATTATTGAGATCCGATCATAATACCGATAAATCTTAATAACGCTATCAACTTTTTATCAGGTTATTAACTATATTCAAATAATAACGTTACCGGATGAATCTTAATAATATCGTTTTGAAGTTATTAAGATCGAATCCTGATAATTTATCAACATTCAATCTTAATAATCATCAAGTTCTGGAAGTGGGTTTTGAAGGATCCTCAGGATCGACCAGAACTGCTCCCAGTTCTGGAAGTGGATCTTCAGGATGGACCAGATCCGGTTTGACACTGCCCTTGGCCCATCCTGA